CATTTCTGGTGTCTCCCGCCGTGATGTTGCTGGAATATTGCTAAAAGCGGCGTAAAACCAAACTCAGTCAGTCAGTCTGTCAGTCTTTATTTCGTGAGTGCGACGTTTCGATACAGATTATGGCACCGTTGCCAAGCAGGAATCTGTATCGAAACGTCGCACTCATGAAATAAAGACTGACTGACTGACTGACTGACTGACTGGTTTGGTTTGTTAAAGTTTGTTCAATATTGTACTTCCCAACTTCTAAAATGTCACAGTGACCCAAACAAGTTACAAGGTATGTGTGTTGACTGGAGGAACAACTGGAGCAGGTGCTCCTTGCCTAAAACCATCCTCAATACAAGAAATCCATAGGTGAGGTGAAACTGGGTTTAAAGTCGCATTCAAGATTACTCAACTCAAGTTACTCTTTGCCCGGATTGATGTCGGTTTAATAGCGATAGCCAGATGAGAACCGCAGTTTCACCTGACACCGTTTACAGATCAGAACTTGTCCTGTCTACTTAGTGACGAGCACCAGGCAGAGTAAAAACAAGTTGCATCTTATATGTCATTTGGTATGACGCGGCCGGGGATCGAACCACCGACCTTCCACTCTCCAGGCAAACACTCTATCTACAAGACTAGTAAACCCGTCAGGGGATCGAACCACCGACCTTCCACTCTCCAGGCAAACACTCTATCCACTAGACACGTAAACCCGTCAGGGGATCGAACCACCGACCTTCCACTCTCCAGGCAAACACTCTATCCACTAGACACGTAAACCCGTCGGGGATCAAACACTCTCCAGGCCACTAGACACGTAAACCCGTCAGGGATCGAACCACCGACCTTCCACTCTCCAGGCAAACACTCTATCTACAAGACTAGTAAACCCGTCAGGGGATCGAACCACCGACCTTCCACTCTCCAGGCAAACACTCTATCTACAAGACTAGTAAACCCGTCAGGGGATCGAACCACCGACCTTCCACTCTCCAGGCAAACACTCTATCTAGACTAGTAAACCCGTCAGGGGATCGAACCACCGACCTTCCACTCTCCAGGCAAACACTCTATCTACTGGGGATCGAACCAGACACTCTCCAGGTAGAACCCGTCAGGGGATCGAACCACCGACCTTCCACTCTCCAGGCAAACACTCTATCTACAAGACTAGTAAACCCGTCAGGGGATCGAACCACCGACCTTCCACTCTCCAGGCAAACACTCTATCCACTAGACACGCAAACCCATCAGGGGATCGAACCACCGACCTTCCACTCTCCAGGCAAACACTCTATCCACAAGACTACGTAAACCCGTCAGGGGATCGAACCACCGACCTTCCACTATCCAGGCAAACACTCTATCTACAAGACTAGTAAACCCGTCAGGGGATCGAACCACCGACCACCGACCTATCTTCCACGACCTCCAGGCAAACACTCTATCCACTAGACACGTAAACCCGTCAGGGGATCGAACCACCGACCTTCCACTCTCCAGGCAAACGTAAACCGTCTCTATCCATCTCAGGAGAACCACGACCTTCCACTCTCCAGGCAAACCTCGTCAGGGTAAACCCGAATCGAACCACCGACCTTCCACTCTCCAGGCAAACACTCTATCCACTAGACACGTAAACCCGTCTGGGGATCGAACCACCGACCTTCCACTCTCCAGGCAAACACTCTATCTACAAGACTAGTAAACCCGTCTGGGGATCGAACCACCGACCTTCCACTCTATCTACAAGACAAGCAAAACCCGTCAGGGGATCGAACCACCGACCTTCCACTCTCCAGGCAAACACTCTATCTACAAGACTAGTAAACCCGTCAGGGGATCGAACCACCGACCTTCCACTCTCCAGGCAAACACTCTATCTACAAGACTAGTAAACCCGTCAGGGGCGAACCGACCAGACCACCGACCTTCCACTCTCCAGGCAAACACTCTATCCACTAGACACGAACCACCCGACCTTCCACTCTCCAGGCAAACACTCTATCCACTAGACTAGTAAACCCGTCTGGGGATCGAACCACCGACCTTCCACTCTCCAGGCAAACACTCTATCCACTAGACACGTAAACCGTCTGGTGATCGAACCACCGACCTTCCACTCTCCAGGCAAACACTCTATCTACAAGACTAGTAAACCCGTCAGGGGATCGAACCACCGACCTTCCACTCTCCAGGCAAACACTCTATCTACAAGACTAGTAAACCCGTCTGGGGATCGAACCACCGACCTTCCGCTCTCCAGGCAAACACTCTATCCACCACATTACGACACACAAATTAAAGAAACTCAATCAATTTAAATATTTATTGGAACACATGGCAGTGAATACAGCATGTGACGTCATCTCGTGAACGAGAAATCAGCCGCACAAAACAGAGGCCAAGAACACGTGACCAACCACGTGACTTTAGCCCCAAATTTCGCACAAATCGCTTTTGGCACAGTTTAGCTATGCGGTATGTACTGTCAGCAATTGCAAGGAATGAACAGGCACCTCGTGATTCAGTTGTAGTGTTAAGTTAGCCGATATGGGTTGATGGGTGAATATCACCCACAAATCATTTTATGAAAATTAAAATATCAGCAATTTGCAGTATATTTATACATATGTATATATACGTAAATGCATGGTATACTCATCTATAATAAATAAGCAACGTTAATATAAAATATAACACAGATATAACTGGTTTGCCCCAACCGTTGTAATCGGCAAAAATGGATCAAGTGAGATTACAAGAAAAATGACACAAAACTTGAAAGTTTAAAAAAGATTGATTGAAACTCTTTAGTTTTGAGATTTATGCTTGAACAGACCACATTTCATATCACAGATGCCAGGAATGTGTACAGTCATATTTGATGAATGACAACATATCCGAATTGATATATCTTTCTATGACAAAGATATGTACCTATGTTTTACGAGTATACCTCGGCTGTCGCTGAGAAGATAAAACATAAACATAAACTCTCTATCAACTCAACAACAATGGTCTACTTACATCATAAACACAGATACAGAAACGTAAACAACAATACAAATAAAACAGTAAATAGTCAATACCATAAACAGATCAAATACTATTTGTGTTAAAACATCTAGCATCCTTAGAAAATAAGAATATGCTCTTCCGACACGAAAAAACATATTGCAAAAGCACATCAAAGAGCAGTTTAAAATAAGACCCTTTGTCAAAAATATTTCCCCGTAGTCTCATTTTAAACACTAAGCACTGAGGTTTATTACATCTCGCAACAGCTCATTGTATATTCTTGTATTGATACATTTTGAACCAAATCAGCCTTTCATTATATTGCAATGCTTTTGTCAAAGCTGTAAATCCTATCATAAACAATAGTGTCGTCATTGCTAGTCTTACAAACTTACAGAAGTCGTTTCAGGCATTGGTTACTCTCGATATTTCACCAAGAACCGAAAATAGTCTACATATCCACTTCCATAATGGCATCGGCAACACCATGCTAAGATGCATTCCTCTGCCATTGTCTGGTCCCATATCAGGAGATCAAACACTCCAAACGTCTTGTAAAATCTTTCTGTACAATCGTCCAAACAAACTGTTTGTATAGTGCATACATTCCTTGGCGGAACATGTCTCCCTCTTGACAAAACGAAGAATAAGGTTTAACGCCGCTTTTAGAAACAGTCCAGCAATAACACGGCGAGGGAAACCACAAATGGGCTTTACACGATGTACCCATGTAGGGAATCGAACCCGAGTCTTTGGCGTGAGGAACGGACACTTTAACCGCTCGACCACCCCATCGCCTACTCAATAAAACAAACATGTCCATTTCACGTTGATTTTTCGCCAATCGCCAGAGTCTGGACTTTCCGTTCCTTCTTCACGATGTGGTCCGTTATCAGATATCCCACCAGGGCCAACACACAGATTCCGGCCATGATGTAGATCTTTGTGGCCATACAGAAGAACTGGGCGTAGGCAAAGGCTATAGTGGGACCGAGACCCTGCATAACCCTCATGCCAGTGAAGGCCTCCTCAAACTGGTCAGGGAACAGCACGCCCATCAGACCTGGGGAATGAGATAGCTATTATATATATTTTTTAAATACAACAAAATAAATATTGAAATTATGAAGTCGGTCATGATGACTACACGTGAGACAGTGATTGTGGTTTGATGCCGCTTTTAGCAATATTCTAGCTTTTACACAAATGGGAATGAGTGAGTGAGTTTAGTTTTACACCGCTTTTAGCAATATTAAAGCAATATCATGGCGGGGGACACCAGAAATCGACTTCATACATTGAACCGATGTGGGAATCGAACCCGGGTCTTGAGCTTGACGAGCAAACGCTTCAACCACTAGGCTACCCCACCGCCCCTTCACGAAAGGGACACGAGAAATACTCACATTACCCGTGTTATCTATAGTAAGCTACTCCACTGGATACAAAGTAAGTAACCTTTTCATATGATAATCAGTGTTTAAAACCCTTTACTGAGTGAGGGAGAGAGTTGGTATGGTTTTACGCGGTGTTCAGATATATTCCAGAGATGTCATGTCAGGGGAGGCCAAATTTGGGTCTAACACATATTACCCATATGGGGAATCGAACACATGCCTATTGAATTGAGGGTCAACGATTTAACCACATGGCTCTCCCATCGACCCTTATCTTAACCTGTGCTTGGGACATTTTCCAAGAAAAATCTTCAACGTAAGGTTATGATACAAAAAGGTTAAGTGACGTCTTAGGTCGTATCCACATAAGGTTAATCTATTTTGTGAAACAATAGTAACTAAAACAGTTCTTGTGCCTACGGCTGTATCGTAAGCAGGTGCTCCCATGCTAAAACTCACTGTTGCTTTGGGCCATCCAGATCCCGTCGCTCACTCCCCATAGACCAATCAGAACAAAGATAACAACCAGCGAATCGGGGGTGGGTGTCCATATTGCCATCAGGGTCAACAGGCCAAGATCAACAGCGACCGCTAAAAAGAGAAAGAAATGGCACAACTGAAAAACATGGCACACCTGTAGAGCCGACCCTTCACACAACCGTACTTCCAAATGAACATTGGAGAAAGAGACAACAGTTTTGTAGGGTAAATGTCCCATTCTATGTCATTACTAAATTCACTAGTGGTATGAAAACCACATTCTGTGTACATTGGAGTTATCCCGCTTTTCTTTGACGCAAGGCAATTGCCAGTGATGTAAGGAAGCGTTGGTTTCTGAGCATCTTCCAAGCATGGTATTTAAAGTCAGTAATTAATCACAGTGAAAAATAAATGTGTTGTGTTCGCTCAAACGAACAGTGCTTTCCATTTAACTTCATTGAAATTATATCAATACACATGTGTGATATGGTTTTTACATATATATATATATAAGTCTCAGCCATGAGGCGAGAATTGATGACTCAGCGATAGACGTACGCGCCTTCTTTAGATTCATCATCGATGTATTTTGAATATAAATAATATTGACACACGATGAAAAAGCATCATCAGTTGCAATCAAAAACAACAAAATATTTTAGCGGTGAAAGTGTACTAACTGTTAAATGAGATTCGAACGGAACCACATTCTATGAGAATTAAATTGATTTTTATGGCCATCCATTACATGCGTTTTTAAAGTGTGTCAGTATATGCTCAAGTTGAAATCTAAACCTTCAATCACATATGTGTATTCATTTTCAGAAACACGTGAATATATAAACATCCAATACAAATTCTTTCTCCCGCTTTCATACCAGAAATATTCTGATACAATCCATTCATTCATAAACCACTAGCAGTAACTAAAATAAACAGCTCATCCAATGGAAGAGTCTATTCGTGAGCAGGCCTCGGTTCTCTACAGGCGACAGGGGCGTAGAGTAACGCAATCGATAACTTCAGGGGCAACGAGATCGATAATTAACGAATCAATAATGATAGAAGTATGGTCTGACCCCTTATTGACAGAAGATGCACTTGGCCGGAAGTGTCCACTCGGCAGGAGACAATTACTACTTGGACAGAGGGTGTTCTGATCACTGCCCTAGGAAACGTGCATCCTTTGTCAGCGGTCACGTGGGCGTCACGTGATAGGTCAACAGTACTGGCTCACTTAAGGCTGACTCATCATCTGAGTCATTGATTTCGCTTGCTGAGTTCTATTTCAGAAATCTTATTTCATCACTTAAGATGAGACCATGGGAACGGGCAAATGATTCGAGAGAGAATTCACTATCGATATACTGAGGTGTTAACGCAGAACCGGGTGTGAAACAGGTGTTCCTGGTAATCAACACCTGCCAATATTGCCCAGAACGGTTTCACACACAAATGATTTAAAATTTTCTTTCCATAGAGGGTCTTATTCAACAACAGAAATCATGGCTATGGTTTTCGTCAAATGTACAATTATTCCAGCAGTTCCATGGATGAAGACACGGGGCTTCATCTCTATTACTCCCTAAGAATTTAGCCTGGTTTTCGGGACTAATTATCGAACAGATCTATGTCCACATATTACAATCAGCAAGCCAGTACTGATCACTAATATCAACACGCCATTTGGTGCACTGGATGATACCGTATAGACTTTATTAAACAATAAACAACGTTATTAATATTTCTTTTTATACTGTCACTTTTATAAATTTAAAAAAAGACCTTTTTGTCATAGTAATGTCAATAGTATCTAGTCCACCAAATGTACACGGCCACGTTGTACAAATCACAGTATTGACTGGTAAAGAACACAATAACAATGGCTGGTACTACCTAAATGCAACAAAATCTTACAATGCCAACAAACTAATCTTCCGCTGCCTATATATCTAACAATGACTTCACAGCCGCGCAAGTTCAGTGGGTCAGGCGTACGTTATGAGCCGTACTAACGATTACTTACTTTTATCACTCATACTTACCTGGCCGATACTCCAACAGGATAAATCCTGTGAATGATAAACTGAATATTAACTAAAAGTCTATTGTTTATAAGCTAATGTTTAAAAATCTTAGTGTTTAAAGGCATCATCTAATTTCTTGCACAGAGTAGCGTTGGAACGTGTGTGCATTCACTTTACAAGAAGTCGAATACAAACGGAATTAAATATTGGTATTATAATTGTTTTATTTTTTGTAATTTGTTGGAGAAAAAGGTAGGTTGATTGTTGTATTCTCGTTATCTAAAAGGATTTCAGTGTCGAAAACTGATCTTAGATGAAGCCTTTAATTTATGTTATATGTAAGTAAATATATACATTGGCCTCACAGCTTATACATGTAAATGTGAGTCTCTGTGCTTCTGATTAAAGATGCTGTTTGCATGACTCGTACATAAGTATACATTGTGTCACATTGCACGCCTCCAGATTATTTCAACAAATCATGTTTCCTTCAAATTCGTATTTTAGTCCAAAAATACTATCCACAACTGATTCGAAACGTAATGAAAATAAAATATTATCCAAAGTACTATTATTTGCTTTCATGATTTGCTGAAACCACCTGTATTATACAGATATAATCCTTTCATTCTGATATGATGAAAATAGAAATAAAAACATTCTGACTTGCATCAGCTGATTTCGATTAATCAATCGAGACCTGGTACTTGAATTATAGTGACCGAATGTGCATTAAGGTTGAATCTTCAAAAAACATACATGTATTTTACAGACTAAACACACACATGCAAACGCACACGCATTTACGCAAAGGAACACATGTTAAACACACACGCGTTTATTGATTGACCGAAATGTTAAACATGTATGTTTTTTTAGTCAACGCAGAATACAATCAGGTGTTGCGAGTCAGATCGGTGACAATACGTAGCAAAAGTTTAATGGAAGCATCTAGGACCCAAAAATATTTTCACAGAAAAGCGGGACTTGTTTCTCCAATGCTAAAACTAATCATAAAACAAATACAACCTACATTCCTTAATCAGGAACAAAAATAATTTCCTCTTTGTCCAAATCCACAGAAACTTTCGGTTGTGTGATTCGGATCTGACGTTTGGTCTTACAGAGAAGACCCTGTGTTTATGTCAACAAGCAAGCACGCTAGCACCTGTCTCCTTACCGTCGTCCTAGGCATGACTGCGCATGCTCATTACTCACCAATCGGAAAATGTTCCCCCTTTGACGTCACTGACGGGGGACTTTTCGGTTAACGAGAGACATGATGGGTGGAAGACTTAATTTGATAGTCGCACTCAGCATGAAGAAAGGATTCTTACAATGGTGTCTTGTGGTGATATACCAAACCTAAATTCAAGAGACTGAAACAGGAACATAGCATATGCATTGTCTGATAGATGGGAAGGCGGATAACTAGCCCGCCAGCCCAAACAAGGGCTGAGACTGGTGATGCTAATGGCGGCCATGTTGGCGGCCATATTGAATCACCACTACGAAGATGTAGCAAGCCAGCTATCCTTGGCGATGCAAAATGAAGGACGTGGAATGATATTTTATTTTTAAATATTTTTCGAAAGTCGAATTCTGATTTCATTTTTGGAATTTCGATCATGATGAGAGAATGATTTTTGTCTTAGGGATTGTTTCGCAACCTCTGTTGTCAGATTGGTAAAGTTTCATTGTCTTCATAAACTTCTCACGGTGATTCTGTGGAATTAATATTTCTTTATTTCTGAAATTGAATTATTGACAATATGCAGGTGTCATTCAACTAGGTAAGACAAATCCGGGAGGAAAAAGATGGTGATTAATAAACATCAAGTTACAGTTAATACACAATGATAAATGAAATAATCTAGATTCTGCTGATGCAGCTCCATGTTACCAAATGAAGCATATATCAAACAATTATGGAGCGAAGTACAATTAACCCTACCTTACAAAACAAAGGAAATACAAGAAGGGACATACCTGATCCGATCATGACAGTCCGGCCTACGTATCTACACAGCCACCCGCTTAAGTAAGCACTGAGGCTGCCCGATACACCCATACAGATGAGGGTGTACCCAACCATGTGAACTCCAATTGGGCACGTCACAAATGCCTGAAGAAATAGACGCAAGAAGATATCATTAAAATTTCTAAAGATAAAATCCTCAAACACCATTGTCTAAATATACTACAGTAGTTATTCAAATATTTCTTCAACATTTGATCATTGTTTTACCAGGACTGAAAATACGGTACATTGAGGGCTGTTGGCCTTATTAATCGTTAATTGTTGTGATTGAGTGAGTATGGTTTTACGCCGCTTTTAGCAATATTCTAGCAATATTAAGGCGAGGGACCCCAGAAAAGGGCTTCACACATTGTACCCATGTGGTGAATCATACCCGGGTATTCGGCATGACAAGAGAACGCTTTAACCACTAGGCTACCCCACCGCCCCTATTTGTTTTGAACGAAATGATTATGATTTGTGTCTTTATTGCAACATCAAGGGGAGTGATAGCTCACCTTTGCAATTTCACCGCTGGCGAAAGCCGCCTGCATCTGGCTGAATAGGAGAAGGGGGCATAGCAACAGGAACTTCCGGTTTAAGGCGAACCTGCCAAGGGAGACAATCTGCGTCTTGACCACGTTGCATGAAATGGTGGCACTAAAAAGCCGACTGTTAAGGGGTTCCAAAAGGAAGAAGGCGATAAGAACCGCCAACAGCATGACTCCCGAGTTCACGCCATAAAGTACATACTTGGCAAATGAATTGTCAGTTGACCCTGTACTGCTGATGGTGTAATGATGGCAGTAATTCGCTCCGCACAGCAAATGGGATGGCGGTGATGAGGAGTTTAGTATCACAGACTCATTGGGGAAGGAATACGTGGATTGGTTGGTTAGTGTCTGATTAATGACAGAATAGTTGGACGTCACACTGGAAGCGGTAGCGCCAGTAGGGTTGGCGTATGTGAGGACAAGGGAGGCAATGAGGTTGCCAAAGATCATGTACAGTTGCCATACAAGATAGAAGATGCCGAAAAATCGACTGAGGACAATTTCGTAATCTTGTTTCTTCTTTTCGGAGTAGCCCTTGGCTAGGAAGGTGATGTAGGTACTCATAGCGTTCCACATCAACGCAAAGCTGACCCCCCATAGTAAGGAGACTGGGGTCATAAGCCACATTGCGGGGTAGAAGTTAGCAGCTATGTACAGAAGGTAGGGAAGCATGGATACAAGGAGGGCGCGGTAGGGGTGAAAGTTCTGGACAAGGAACGGACTGAATACGCTTCCAATCATGAACCCCATGAAGGTCATTGCCAGAGATATTACGCCAACGCCCCCTTCGTGGTTCAGACTTGTCTGGAGGTTGCGGAGAGTTCCGCTGGCGATGAAAGCCATGGTTATGCTAACACTGAGGGCTATTAGGTTGCGTGTGTGGCGCCCGCTTGGAACGATGTTGTGGTCAACATCATAAGGACCATTCCCGTCTTCTGGAGGCAGCTTCGACACGTCCTTGGCGCTTCCGGGTAGAAGAAGAGAGCTAGCCACCCGTTCGTCCTGAAGGTACTTCAAGGCTTTCTGGCAGGCGAAGGTGATGTTGCTCGTGCTTGAGAGATCTCTCTGTGAGGACATAAACCCTGGGTGGTCGATAAGACCAAGGACGGGGGTCTCTACTTCTTTGACGAAGTTACGGATGTTGTCCGTTGTGTTGAGGAGAGGTTGGCTTGCGGAGAAGTGAGACGTTACGGAGTCTGTGTAATTCCTGTTTTCGTAGCAGTCTATCACAACATCGTTGATGGAGATTTTGGGGGAGACAGAAATATCGAGGCTTGACTGAGCGCAGTCGTGAACGATGGAGTCATTGTCTTTCAGAGGCAGCAAGAACTTTGTACTATCTGCACTACCGACTGAGTCGGTGTAATCGGTGTTGCTGAAGGGGTCTGCATGCACGTTGTCTTGCTTCTTGTGGTCTGGGGTGTGTGCAGGACCATTCGAAGACGCCGCCATATTGCTATGCTGGTTGTCGTCCTGTGATTTGTTACAAGCATCGGAACAATCGTCACTTCTGTCGATGTCTGGCATTTCAACCCGCGATGACCTTTGATTACTGACGTCTGTATCTGGAGCCAATCTGCCGTTGTCAGTGGCAACGGTCACCGTTTGTGACGTCAGACCCTGACCATCACACGTCTTTCCCGCCACCATATTGCAGAATCTGAAACATAGTTATAGCCGGCGGTCAGCTTGTTAGCCTCGTTAACAGGGAGCACACGTTATCCGTTTGTTTATTGACCTATAGAAACCAGTCTTCTATATACATACACCGATAGATTCTGCTGGACTGCAAATCATTAAACAACAGGCACTAATAGGATTAAAATAACATTAATAACTACGAATGGCGTACCACTGTCATCATATTTCGGTCTAACAAATCGTACGGCTCTCTAAACTTAAAATAATATCCTAATGTGATACTTATAAGTCAGAGACTGACAGAATGTCTCTCAAACAAGGATGTCTCTGTTGCATGATCAGCTTAAGATTATAGGACTGGTCATTGGGGTGAGGAGGAGAGAGAGTCAGGGGAATACATATAATGGGGGAGGGTTGTGCTTATGTGGGCATTTCAAAATATATCAAACCCGTCCACGAAGACCTGAGTTAGACATGGTCTTCAGCAACCCATGCTTGTCGTTAAAGGCGACTGACAAGATCGGATGGCCAGGCTTGCTGACTTGGTTGACACATGTCATCGTATTCCGATTTCGTAGATCGATGCTCATGATGTTGATCACTGGATTGTGTGGTCCAGACTTGATTATTTACAGGCCGCCGCCATATAGCTGGAATATTGCTGAGTGCGCCGTTAAAAAAACAAAATAAAACATAAACTGCTTTTGAATTTGTCTTGTCAGGGAGGGTCACGAAAAGCATTACAAGGTCATGGGGAGGTTCACTCAACATGCATTAGGAGAGGATCATTACTTCTGTACATTATTGCACCAAAAACCTGTGTACAAGCATCCATCTTTGTAGTAAATGAGGGGGCCGACTTGGCCCACACCAAGCAGTGCTTTACACCGTTGTTTTAAGTTGCCAGTGGAGCTGACCTGCTCCTGACCTCTGCTTCTGACCAGCGGTGTTCCTGAAATCAGTTCGCTCGAGACCTTTACTCATAAGCTGGCGGGCCGAGATCAGACGTGACGTATAGTGTGGGCAGTCTGGTCAATACCAGACTTAACGAATCGGCCAGAACACTCGAATGTTCTTGATGAGAGGTCAGCTGATGTTAAGTTCAAGTAGTCTGCTGACCACATCTAAATTCGTTGACATCGCGAAATTGTATGTCTGGCACAGGAACAAATTATTCAACATCGTGAAATGCTATGTCTGGAACAGGGTCAGATATTCTGACCCAGTCGCCGCAATTCATTGTGTAGAGTTCCGTATCTTGGCATGCCAGGAACCTATCATTATTATACGAATTCCAGATTGTAGTTATGTTTCACCATTGAGCTATCTTTCCATCCCAAAAGACTTGTGTCAGTGAAAAGATGTCTGTCGTGGCGTATTTAGGAGCGAGTGAGTGAGTGAGTTGATTTTTACGCCGCTTTTAGCAATATTCCAGCTGGGGACAGCAGCAATGGGTGTCATACATTGTACCCATGTGGGGAATCGGACTCGGGTCTTCGGCGTGACGACCGAATGCTTCAACCCCTAGGCTACCTCACCGCCCAAGCGTTTTTAGAAATATTCCGGCGGGCGTTCAACGCCGCATTTAGGTCAGTGAGTATGGTTTTACACCGCTTTTAGCAATATTCCTGGAATATCTGGCAGCACCAGGAATGGGCTTCATATATAGTAAATATGTGTGGAATCGAACCCGGGTCCTCGGCGTGACGAGCGAATGCTCTACCCACTAGGCTAGCCCACCGACCCAAACCTCCGCTTGGAAGAGTATGCCAGTTAAATCACAGGCTGTCAGCTTAATGTGGGCTTAAAACTCGACGTCATAGAACAATCGGAGTCATACGCCACATAGAAGCCTATCACTTCGGTGGGAGCCACGGATATGGTCATAACAAACCTACAATCATAATCAGTGCAAACCTACATTCCAACCAACCGTTGTAGAATTCTGGGTGCTCAAGAATGCAACTCGACACAGCTGAGACACCAATCAGACTTGACATACTGTAGCCATTTTGGGACTTGAACCCTGCGAGGACATTTGAATAGGTAGATATCTGACCCACATAACTGAACAATAGCACAGTCGGAGCTAGTACAGTAATTACTCCTATATATACACAGTCGTTCTCATACCACATGTATGCTTTGAATACAGTACATGCTCTGCGAACACCTGGCTATCATGAACAATCAGCAACAAAAAGGCATTGCTTATGTCACAATGCATACCTTTTGAGAACGTAGCAATTAATCATGTACTGAACTGCTTGCTTTGGTTGGATGCGTTCAGGTGCAGGTCGAGTGGTGTGAGGAGTATGCACCAACTGGTTTGTGACGAGTTAACTGTTATTATCGACTAGTATGTTACGTACAACGCCCGGTGTTGTATACAGCTGAGCGTAGACTACCGCTTAGTCTCTGAATATATGTAATTAATTAGTAACAAATAAACCCATTTAAATTGAAAAGGAGCCCTAGTGAGCTGAGAGATTCAGGGGAAATCTAGACTTGCTTCATTTAGAGCTTTCGCATTGCAGGGAGGGCTAGGCAGTAGGGGAAATAATGTGGTTCAGTGAGTTGAGTCAGTGATCCAGGTGAACCATCGCACAAACATCTCCCTTGCAAAATTAGCCTTGCTCCAAGGCTGTACTGAATGCTAAGCCTATGGGTGGACAACAATTCTATCCTTTAAAGAGGCGAGTCTACGTAAGTGGTCAGTACATTCTAAGGACACCACTCTGTTAATTATATTTTTTATTTTCATTTATACTATTAATTATTACCTTAGAGACTTGCGCAAGTCTACTGCAGCTTGCACAAGTATGATGTCGTAACAGGTGATCACGGGTGTCAGGTATCACTTGCGAAATGGGATGTGTATATCTTTATGGGAAGGGGTGATGGGGGAGGGTGTTATTTTGATTTGCATGTTTATTTGAAACGGTATACATTTTCAAACAGAGGGTAACAAGTTTTACGACTTAGTCAACAATTTTACGCCGTTTGAATATTCCAGCAATATCACGACGCAGGTTATAAATGTTTTCACTCACTGAGAGCCATTTCAAGAATATGAAATCGACACTTGAAATCTCGACTAACGAGCTGTTCTGTGTATTTTAAGTTTTAATGAAGGAGACATGTACACACAAATAAAATAAACAGGTGTATGTAAATATTCAATATTAATCTGCATACAATTTTCGAACCAAAATATTCATATCAAATAAACCTATAACGCAGGTACAATGGGAGTTATGCTGAAACAATCACGTATCGATTGCAAATCAGTAGATTTACACACAAATAAAATACACAGGTGTATTTATATATTCAATATTAATCTGAGTCAGTTATAAGTCCATACAATATTCGAACCAAAATATTAATTTCCAATAGACATGTACTGCAGGTAGAACGGGAGTAACGCTGAAACAATCAGGTGTCGATTGCAGATCAATAGATGTGTATGACAGATCGGTTATAAATACAGCTGACTGACAGCTGTGTCTGGTTGGTGGGCGCGCCATTTCACTTGAATAATTCCGTGTATGTCTACTAGATCAATACTACGATCGTCACCATGACGCTCTGACGACTGCCTCGTCAATGTGTAAGCGACAGCTATTCCACTGACAATCGATACTGATCGATATCCCTTTGGCGTTGCGAGAAGAAATTTGTATTCAGATAAACGGTATGGTCTGGCACTTATATCATATAATAGATTAGTTCCATTGACCAGACATGTTATTGGATTATGTAATAAGCATCAATGTCATCAACAATTTGCCTGTACATCTATTTTCACATTAGGATACAATCTTTTTAAATATGACTATATTAATTATAGTTGTCACCGGTGCCAAAGATACGGTTGAAATATATGGAGACTTAGCTGATATAATAACCATATGTGCAAAATATGAAAATTACAATAGTATCAATAGGTTATCAAATTACACAACTGCTTAACTCAATCAAGTCTATCAACATCCGGTATAGAATGAGTCCATCGTCGCCTGAGAGCTATGACAATGTCAGTCACTGTCAAAACATGGCAGAATTGTCGCGATCGACAACAGGTTGCCATGGCAAAATCTAAATTTGACCACACACCTGCCAGAAGGAAGAATGGGTGGTAGTGCCCACAGTTAGAGGAAGCAGTACTATCGCACCCAGGTGAGCTCAGTCACTAAATATACGCTGTTGATAGAATCAAACAAGTCGCTATAGTCGAACTAGTTGAGATCATTTACAATCGGGGTTTCAAAACTGAATATGTGGAAAATCTAGACTTGCTTCGTCTGGAGCCACAGCATATAGTAAATGTTGGGCAGAAGAGAAAATTAAAAGAATTAGGGACTGAGATAGATTATACACCCATGTGTGTGTTTGTAAATGGGCACGTGTGTGGGCGAGAGAGCCGTAGTGCGCGCGTGCGTGCGCGCGCTGGGTGGCTGTGGGTGTTTGCATGTGCGTGTGAGCGGTGTGTGAGAAAGTGTGTCCGTATGTGTGAGAGTGTATGTTTATGTGTGCGTGCGTGCGTGTGTGTGTTTTGCATGGTTGAGAAAGTGTATGTGAGAGAGAAAGAGTGTGTGCTTGCACATGTGTGTGTGTGTGTCCGTGTGTGTGTCCGTGTGAGAGAGAGACCGTGTTTGTGTTTGTGTGTGTGTGAGTGTGAGAGAAAGAGTGCGTGTGAGTGGTGTGTGTGTCCATGTGTGAAAATGTGCGTGTGAGAGAGAAAGAGTGTGTGCGCGCGTGTGAAAGTGTGCATGGGTGAGAGTCTGTGTGTTTGGGTGTGTCCCTTTTCAAACTTCACTTACATGTCACATTTAAGTCACCGCTCAGTTTTACGCGACATTAAGTGCAAGTTCAGGGCCCTGCGCTTAAGTAAGGCCTGGATATCATTCACGTGATCATTTTACCTGCCATTGTATGCTACACGTCAAGCAGGGCAGTATTTATAGCTGCAAACAAACCCTTCATCCCTGGAGTACGCAATCATATACACTGTCA